CCAGTCAGCCAAGAACAAAATGTCTTTCTGTTTTCTTGAAGCTTCTCAGGTACATCCCTCCTTAAAAACCCTCAAGGAGGTCAGAAAGCCTCAGAAGAACTTAGTTTTTGGCCTACGGTTTGGCACTGATGTATTATTATTATTTTGCACCACAATCGATGTTCATGTTCAGAGCACTGGACCGGTTTGCTTCTTGGTTCAGCGGTTTGGTGATTTACTTTGAGATTTCGCTCCCTTGTTGTCAACCTAAGTACACTTGATAAATCCTCCGAATAAGCAGAAGTGAAGTCCATTTGGCCCATTTCAGGCAGTATATTTCTTTCTGGTTCGAATGCAAGGACCCAACTTCCAGAGTGGTGGACCGTAAATGAATATCCTGAAGCATGTGCGGCACCATCTGCCTCTTTGAAACATATTCATCAATTTGGCCAATTAGCAGATTAATTGCTTAATTACTCTGAGGCAGCTGTGTATTTCTCACAAAAAATGCCAACAACGCCAGAACCAAGTCTTATCACAATCTTACTTCTTCCACAATTCTTTGTTTGGTAGCAGCTATTATTGAATTTCTGTTGCGAAGTGGGAACTAGTTAGTGTGTCGATAAATATAGAAGTTGAATGCAACAATATGTCTTTGTTGACCGGTGTGGCCTGTGTGTGCTATTTCTGAGTATAAACATCAAATTTACTTTTAGTGCACTTGACCTAAACTGATGGCAGTTTTTAAACTCCCAAACTAAATCTGCATGAATTGATCCAGCAAGCATTGAGTAAGCAATGCTTTTGTATTGGTCGTCTTTGCATTAATGTAATTCATGCAGGCCATTAGGAATGTACAAACTCACTTTGTATGTCTGTTTGATGTTGGGCAGCAAACTGTGAGTGTGGATACTTTTCTCACTCTGCTCTGCATCAAAAGAGCGTTTGCCAACCGCATGTTAATTTTTCAGTAGTCTCTCATTCATTGATCTGATGGGAGAGTTTTTGTGAGTGCATTTGTAATGACGGTTCCCTTGCTGCCTGCAGACTTAGGTTAAGTCAGGGGTCTCAAAGACATTTCACAGGCCGTTTTCAGTGCCTTTTGACACTCCCGACCAAAGCTGAATCCATATGCTGAACATTATTTGGTGCAAAGTGGCCCATCGTTACAGATGTCCTCACAAAAGCTCTTACGTCAGATTGTCAGTGGAAGTGAAGGATAATTTGAGGGGAAAAACACAGTAAAGTATTTGTACTGAAATCATTTGTGTTCTTTATTATCAATATTATATGTTCACAATGAATTAAAAATGATATAATTTCTTATATTATATAATTTATTTATTATTATTTTTTATTTGAAAAATCAGCCTAAACAAGGTAATGTAGTATTTTTAATAATAATATTTTTGTATTATTTATAGTATTTTTTTTATAGTATTTAATATTTTATAGTATTTATTTATATTTTGAGTTAGCTTTTTATTTTTGTCATTTTTTCATTTTAATCTTAGTTTACATTTTAGTAATTTTATGTGCTTTTGTCATTTTTATTCTTTTTTTTTTTATAAATATTTATATTTAGCTTTAATATATTTAAGTTTTAAAAATAATTTTAGTACTGCAGGTTAAACGTATTTACCGAAGTTATTTGCCAAGGCAACAACTTTATTTTTAAGTTTAAGTTTTTCATCCAATATTTGTTTTATTTTCACTTTATTTTGAAATGAATAACAATTTTGTTCTAAAGTTATAGTTTTAGTTAACGTTAACAACACTGGCACAAGACTGTAGTGCAATCTGACTTTTGTCAAAAGGGTTTTGTGTAGGTCTATTACCAGTGGTTAGTGCTTGTGGTGCTCATGTGGGAGATGTGGGTTTGAATCTAAAAAGCAACAACGCCAAGGAGTGCATGACATAAAATGCATACATTGAATGCAGTGCAAGTCACTTTGGGAAAAAAAGTGTCTGCCAAATGCATAAATGTAAATTTCCGTATTA